AATCTACACAACACTCATGAAGAAAGGGTAAAAATATCTTTTCGTATTAATTTTAATAAAATAATGGCTATTTTTGCTCAGCATTAAAAATATTGGATAAAAATTAAATACCATATTAAAAAGTGGCTATCTCACGCCATTTCTACGAAAAAATACAGTCTGTGCAAATTGCGTTGTGATCCAATGGTAAAAGTTGATGGGCCTAGCTCAAACAAGCTTTAAGCACTATTATACTTAGGGCCTGTTTGGTCATAAAAAAATATTATTATTTTTTTACTTTTTTCGAAATTAGTGTTTGACTTTCAAATTTCACTTAAGTTAAATTTCAGAATTTTTTGGAATTGGAAAAACTCTAAAAAATTGTTCAAACACAACTCTATTTTTCAAATACCATTTTTAATTTGAAAAAAAAAATCACTTTTTTCCCCGAAATTTCACAATTCTTATGTCCAAACGCCCACTTACTTGGATTTCTCTACTTGTGAGAATACACAGCGTTGTTATTGTCGTTATACACTTATACTTGAATGATATTAATAGACGACCAAGAATTCCCCTTAAATGGTGGTCGTTTAAGATCGATTCAATTGGTCGATTGATGGTTTGATGCAATGTCGTACTATATCTAATTTTTCTATATGAATTCAGAACTTGATTCCTCTGTTTGTTATAATAAAAAGCATTCAAAATTATTTTAAAATCATAATGAAAACCTTTACTTCCTAGGTAATAATTACGAAATATAAGAATTAAGCAAATTTGGAGCAACAAGCAGGAGGTTAATGGAGTGATTATAAAAGCTGGAGGATCAGAACCAAACGAAGTTGCTATAGCTCAACCACAGGTTAAGCATACTTTTATAGCAGGGGGATCAACTACTCAACAAAATCAACCACTGGTGGCTATTGTTCAGCAGAATACAAATCAAGCAACGACATCCACTAGTCACCAACCAGCTCAGAATGTTGAATCTCCTGGCCAAATGAACACAAATGAATGGCACACTATTAAAGGAAGATCAACTACTAAAAATATGAAATCAGTTATTGCGGAACAGCGGTACTAAGAATGGGTTTAGTCCTTTAGTAGAACCTAGGGGACAAAATGCAAGCGGCAGGGGATGCGGTAGCTTCAACAGGGGTGAGGGTGACCCAATATTCCATTCTGTCTAACATGAATGTTGTGACATGGAATGTGAGAGGGCTTAATAAGACCTATAAGCATAAGGAGTTAAGAATAGCAATTAAGGAGAATAAAATGGGACTATTAACTGTATTAGAACATAGAATAAAGGAATGCAAGGCAGAAAAGATTATAAAGAAGATAGTTCCAGGTTGGGAATGGGTTTCTAATTATGGCAATAATACTACAGGTAGATTTTGGATACTATGGAACCCACATGTCATTTGCTTTACTTTACTAGAGATGGACCCTCAATTTATACATGGACAGATTAAAGTACATGAAGCTAATCTGGCATTTAGCTTCATCGCAATTTATGGGTTGCACACTATACAAGATATGAGGAGTTTATGGAGAAAGCTCAAGGAATTAGAGGGAATACAACATGGTCCTTGGATTGCAATGGGAGATTTTAATGCTATCATAAATGAAGAGGATAGGCAACATGGTTCACAGGTTCAAGACATTGAAACCATGGACTTCAGAGACTTCTTGACAGAATCTGCAATGATAGAGCTGCAGACTTATGGTAGAGAATACACATGGACTAACAATCATACATATAGTAGAATTGATAGGGCCATTGTAAATGCGGCCTGGATGAATGGAATGCCTGTAAGTCAAGTGCAGATTATGGAGCCACAGTTCTCTGATCACTCTCCCTTGAAGATTAAATTTGATCAATACACAGGGGGAAAAACCAAGCCGTTTAGATTTTTTAATTGTATAGCTGAACATCAAGACTTTTTACCTTTAATTGAGGATTGTTGGAAGCTACCTACTCCTGAAACATATATGAGAAGAGTATGGAATAAATTGAAGAGTGTTAAGCAGAGGTTGAAAACACTGAACACATAGCAATTTAAGGGAGTAAAAGGAAAACTGAAGCATATCAGGAATCAATTACGAAAAATACAGGAAAGAATGGGACAACATAAGCATGATAGTATTTTGATTGAAGAGAAAAAAAAAACTGAGAAGGCAATTGGAGAAATGGGGGATGATTGAGGAGAGTATTTATAAACAAAAGTCAAGAGTCCAATGGTTGAAAGCAGGTGATTCAAACTCTGCTTAATTTTTTGCAAACATGAAGAGCAGATACTCCCAAAATAATATTAGCAGTCTGTCAAATAAACAATGTGTGCAAATTCAAACTGCCGCCGGGATAAAAACAGAAGTAATAGGTTTTTTCAAGAAGCTTTTGGGCACAACAGCTGTGTCATTGCCTGCAATTCATCCAGCAATTATAAGGGATGGTCCGATACTTCTCAATAAGAAACAGAGGGATCTAATAAGGACAGTCACTACTGCAAAAGTATTACTAGCATTGAAGGATATTGATGACATGAAAGCACCAGGATGCGATGGACTAAATATTTTATTTTTCAAGAAAACATCGCCTATTGTAGGAGGATAAGTTACAGAAGCTATTTTGAACTTTTTCAATATATGAACAATGTTTAAGCCCATCAATTGCCCATCAGTTACACTTATTCCAAAGGTTAGGAACCCAACTTGTATTAAAGATTATAGACCAATTTCTTGTTGTACTACTATATACAAGATTATCTCTAAGATTTTAACAAGGAGGCTTCAGGTAGTTATGGATGGATTGGTGGACAATTGCCACTCTGCGTTTGTACCAGGGAGGGTAATCACTGATAATATTATACTTAGTTATGAGTTGGTAAAAGGGATATGGGAGAAAAGGAATATCACCAAGGTGTATGATCAAGTTAGGCATGCAAAAGGCTTATGATTCCCTTGAGTGGAGCTACTTGGAGCAAGTTCTTATTGGCTTGGGTTTCCCTGAAAAGTTTGTTAGAATGATCATGAGTTGTGTCCAGAATGTGTCTTATTCTATCCTTCTGAATGGCAAACCAACAGAACCGTTTGAGACTAGAAGAGGATTAAGACAGGGGAACCATTTGTCTCCTTTCTTATTTATGTTGGTTATGGAGTACTTAACTAGAAGCTTGAAGACTTTGAGACGTATCCCTAATTTCAACTATCATCCCAGATGTGATAAATTACAAGTAGTGCAACTAGGATTTGCTGATGATTTTCTATTATTTTGCAGGGGAGACACCATCTTAGTGAAGTTGTTATATGATTGTTTCCTAAACTTCTCTCAAGCTTCTGGTCTGAAAGTAAATCAGAGTAAAAGTGCAATATTTTTTGGTGGGGTGGATGCAGCTACACAACAAGATATCCTACGCATGCTAGGCTTTCCTAAAGGTGTACTACCTGTTAGATATTTGAGGGTCCCACTAAATACAAAAAGAATACCCGTGACATAATGCCAACCTCTACTTGACAAAATGGTGGTAAGAATCACTTCTTGGACTTCAAGATTCCTATCCTATGTAGGAAGATTGCAATTGATCAAAAGTGTTCTCTTTTCTATACAAACATTCTGGTCACAGATTTTTGTACTACCAAAGAGGATCATACAAATGATAGAAGCTGTGTGTAGAAAGTTCCTTTGGACTGGGGGAAATGAAACGTCATATAAATCTCTCCTAGCTTGGGAGAAGGTCTGCTATCCTCACTCAGCTGGTGGCTTTAATGTTATGGATATCCATATATGGAATAAGGCAGCAGTGAGCAAACATTACTGGAACTTGAGCAAAAAGAAGGACAAATTGTGGATACAATGGATTCATTGCTACTATATTAAATGGAGGCAAGTTTGGGATACATATCCAAACCAAGCTTCCTAGATAGTTAGGAAGATAATGAAGGCCAAAAAGAATTTAGAAGAAACATGATACACTCATTCTGATGTTCTAGCCATGAATTCTTTTTCTATCAAAAAACTTTATCAGAGATTGAGAGGTCTTTTCCCAAAAGTCACTTGGAAGAGACTTGTTTGTAATAATGCAGGGTGTCCTAAATGGGTATTCAATTTGACTTTGGTAGCACATGGAAGATTGTACACAAGAGATCGATTAGCCAAGTGGGGCATTGCTAACAATTTGATTTGTCCATTGTGTGAACATGATGATGAATCTCTTGATCACTTATTTTTTAAGTGTAACTTCTCTGCAGCTCTATGGAATAAATTACTCAGATGGCAAGGAGTGCATAAACAAGTTATAGGATTGGTGCAAGAGCAGGAGTGAGCAATTAAATTTGCAAATGGGAAAAACGCAAAAGCAGAAATGTATAGAATGGTGTTGGCATGTAGTGTTTACTATATTTGGAAAGAGAGAAATCAAAGAATATTTCAAGGAATAAGAAGAACTATTGACAATCTTAGCATGCTAATAGTGCAAGATATACACTGTCAAGGGAGCCACAACAAGAAGATTACAAAGCAAGTGAAATCCATGAATTTCTATTCCTGAAAGTTGTCTTGGAGGGAAAGAGTTAGAAGAAGAGTAGGATAATATTGACATTTTTGTAGTAATGAGTATGAAGATTTGCTTAGTATTGAATAGATAATATCAGAAGCGAGAAGGGGATAGTAGATAAATGTTTTAGCAGGTTTCTGGAGGTGGATTGCTGACCATCTCTAGGAGTTTTTGTTATGATTGTACATATTTTGCCCTTGGTAATAAAGTTACTTATTTACCAAAAAAATAAAATAATTACGAAATATAGGAAAATAATTGGGAAAAAAAACTCAAAAAATGGAGGAGGAGGAAGTGACACTTTGCACAAATTTGGGGCAACAGCCACGTCATTCAATCAAATATAAGCCCCTCTGCCAAAAAAATACTAAGACTAAACGTGATTCGTGAATCGAGACCTTTGGGTTTTGCACGTCACCCTCTCCTATAAATCTTACTTTAATTAATTAATTATATTAATTATCCATATATTAAGACTTTCAAATTTCGTGGCACACACATATAGGAAAAGGAACGATCTGAATTCCCAAGTAGAGTATTATCTAAGGTTCTTAATTTCCAAGCTATCTCAACCTTTTTTCCCAAATCCGATCCAATTACTTTTTTCAAATCAAGGATCTCGTCATCTATGCGAGAACTTGACCATCCGTTTGATCCCTATTTCTCTGAATATGGTCAAAATTTGCAAACCCTACCTTGATTTCATTCAAAGATCGAATCTTTTTTGCAATTTTAGTGTTTCTGATCCGTTCCACAGATAATTTGATTAAATTCAGGAAAAAGGTCCCTTTTTTTGAGTATATTGATTTTGAAGATAGTCATGAGAATTATATTGGGGCTTTTGTTATTTGTTTGAATTTTAGGTAAAATTTTGTGATTTCGTTTGAATTGTTGAAATTAATTTGTTCGCCGAGTTGTGTAAATCTCTTTTTTGTGATCAGTGGGCTGTGCAAATCGTTTTCTTTTTTTTTTGGGTCTGAGGAAGTGTTATCATGTATATAGAGGAAGAGAAGGGAGGAGAGTTGGAAAGTAGGGAGGAAGTGGAGGAGGTGGTGAGTAGAGTGGTGGAGAAGGCAGAGAAATCATCTGCTGCTGCTAAGGTGTTGTCTTGTAGTGGTAGTAGTGGCAAGAATGCCATTGTTGTGTTGGATGTTAGGAGGGTTATGGTTGGAGTTGGGGCTCGGGCGTTGTTTTACCCGACTCTTCTTTACAATGTTGTTAGGAACAAGATTCAAGTGGAGTTTCGCTGGTGGGACTGGATTGACGAGGTATGACACCTTTTGTCGTCCTGTTTGCCTTGATTTTTATCTAGATGTATGTGGATGTGCAAATGATGTCAATACGCTTCAATAGTAGTTTAGTTCAATTGAGATGATTTTGTTTATAACGTTAAATCCCTATTGCATATTTGAATGCTAATGCTAATCTATGTAATGCATTGGTAGTTTTTGAACTAATTATAGTAGAAATTCATGCTAAGCAGTTGTCATCTGAGGTATGATAGATCTATTCTGTTTCTGAAAACAGTTGTCTGGAAATGTCATTTATATTAAGGTTGATTACTTTGATTGATGATGCTGAACTGTTATAACATCTTGCTGAACCTGTAAGTCATGAATAAGAATGCTAGTACAATATGCACAGACATTCAGAAAATAAGGGTGGGATTGACTTTTGCAGAAATATCAATCGCTTAATTTCTCTGGAAGAGCAAGTCCTTAGACATCCTTGTCAATAATCAAAAAGTCATGTAATAGATCATTGTAGTACTCTGTATCAAATGCACTAGCAAGATGATTATACTTGTCTATCCTAGGAATCATATGATTAACCTATCAACAATATTTAACTGTAACCCTGGAGCTGGAGCAGATGACAAAAACAAATGGAGGATGGTCTCTGCTTGTATTTGGTGGACAATTTGGAAAGAAAGGAACTCTAGATGTTTCGAGCAACACATTGCAAAAGATCAAACTTAACTGTATTAAGCTTTTTTGTTTTTGGTGCAACCAGATCTACCCAGAGGATACTGTATTAGGTTCCTGCTAGAAATGTAGACTGGTTTACTCTTCTTGCTCACTTGCATATATGGTTTCAGTACAACCCATGTATTGTTTTGTGCTTTAATACATACACAGGTTACCTTCTCAAAAAAATATTTTACTGTAACCCTTGGGCCCTCTCTCCAATGCATAAATAAAAAGAGAACAGAAAAAAGTAATAAAAGGTTATATTTACTGACTTACTTTCTCCTTTAGTTTGTGTTATTAGGTGCTGTCCCTTTCCAATCCGATGTAAAAAGGCTAAAGGAGCTTGGTGTTTCCGGTGTTGTCACCCTAAATGAGCCATATGAGACCTTAGTTCCAACTTCTTTATATGAGGTTAGTTTTTTGGCTTTTGCTATTTGCTTTGATCTTTCTGTTATGCTTCATTTAAAAGGTAAGTTAGTCTTCCCTTATAAAAAAGAAAAAGAAAAGGGGATAAGTCCATCTTCATTCAAGCTTCACCTTCATGCCCCTTCCCCTTATTTCATCTGTACCCCTTTGGAATTGGGACTATTTAAGTGTTCTGTAGCCATGCGATTGTTAAGGTAGTGGTATTTGAGAAGTATTGCACTAGCTGAGGAGGCTGTACATGCCGTACTTGTTTTTGGTGAAACAGTCCATCTGTTCATAGTGATCTACTGATTGTATTTCTATCTTCTGAGTATTACTGTTTACCAATTATATAAATATGGGATGAATTAGTTGTTGCCTTTCTGCTGCAACCTAGTAAAAGTTAAATCTTTCACTTAATTCTCACATTTTACTTTTCGGGATTAACTAGTTACGTGGCATGATTTCACATTTTTTTTAAAATTTGGATTTGTTATTTAAATATCCTTCCCATTACATGATCAAGTGCTTTTTTCTCTTTGTTCACATTAGTTTCATCTGTTACTTCTTGTAGGCTCATGATATTCGTCATTTGGTTCTGCCCACAAGAGATTATTTGTTCGCCCCATCACTGCACAATATATGTCAAGCAGTAGAGTTCATCCATGGTGAGTATAAATCTCATCCCTTTGGCTTCCCACTTTGGTTATTTGTTGATTTTGCACTATTGTCAAAGATCTTGACCTTAATTTCCTGGATGCTTTTTACATTTTATCATGACCTCACAGTCACTTACCAGCTTGAGATTCATCTAATTGTCTCAGAAACTGGAACCACAAGCACAGTCTCCATCATATCTCAAGTGACACTGACACAATTTAAAGTCTGAGGGTCAAAGTGTCCAATTCTCAAGTTGACATCGATTGCTTATGATTGAAACCAGACAAAAGTACTTTAAACTGCATGTTTATTAAATTAAAATATTTTACAACTATCAAAAGAAACTTATGGTTAAGGAAAAGTCAACAAAACTATGGTCCAAGTTCATTGCAGTTTTTTACTTATCCAAAAAAAAAAAAAAAAAAATTGTTTGATTCACAAACATTTGTTAAGTTGCTGATCTTCTATTTGGATATTATACTTTTTGAGGTATCAGTCAATTCGTATGTTGACTTGTGATTTTTGTATATGCAAAAAGTACAATAAAATAGGCGGCAGTGATGTTTAAAAACAAAAATTGTAACTTAAAGCATAGATGTTCGTCTTTTAGCCTTTAGGATGATTAATTTCCTTAATTCTTTTCATATGTAGCTATTGTGCTGAGATTGCAAATGGTTGTACTACTCATTATTGCACTCTATGGCTGGTATTTTCAATAAAACTTTCATTACAATTTTAAAAAAATAAATAGGCCGCGATAAGATGCTTAGCTTTTACCCATGTGTATATTTTCTGTTATACATTTGCAAAACCAAGGTGCTTCTGATTATATAGACAGACTAAGTCTTTGGTGTTGGGATGACATCTTATATTTTGATTGTGACCAGTAGTTCAATGAAGAACTCATCTCATCTATAATGCACTTCTAGTATTCTGATCTTCTTTTCAAGCTGCTGCTCTTATCCTTTCTGGTTTTCCCTTTTTTTGCTTTCTATGGAAACAAGTGTTGCTGCAAAACTTCGGAAATTAGCCTATTTTTGATAAACTTATCCTTTGTCTTTCTCTCCTCTTCCATCCTACCTAATCAAGATTGCATCTCTACATCTTTTCCCTGCAGAAACTAAAGACAAATGTACTTTAACATCCCCCCCCCCCCCNAAGACTTGTTTGAATCGATTGTTTAAAGATCATTTTACGTATTTTTTCCTAAAGTTTGTTTTTTTATTGTAGGTTAAGTACAAGCAGATGACACCAAATGATGCATATAACTATGTGAAGTCAATTCGTCCGAGGGTGCTTTTGGCCTCTTCCCAGAGACAGGTGTCTCAGAGATTTGCCTCACCTTTTACTCTTTTTGTCCCTTCTCTTTGGATGCCTGATTGTTTTGCCTTATGAGATTGGTGAAAAGATGTACTCCTGTTGCCTTGGTTTTCTCTATTCTGGTTATTGTTACTGACTCTTTTTGTCCATTAATAATCAGGCGGTCGAGGAATTCTACCATCTCATGATGAAAAGGACATACAGTTGTAGCCCCTTGACTAGTCTGATCTCAAGGAGCTCAAGGTTCTTGGCTGGACGAAATTTGTTAGCCTTCGACGATGGTGCTGTGGTTGTGATAACCGAGGCTGATCTAGATGGATATGATCAGAGCCTTCACTCTAGGGTGGATGGATCCGAGATCTGGGCTGATTTGAATTTGATTTACAGGGTTCGAGTTGCCGGTGGGGCAGCCCTAACAAGACTCTCCTGTATGTGGTTTCGGTGCCACGACCAGAAGATTCCAACTCAGAAGCTGACTGCAGAGAGCAAACAGGTGGGAAGTTTTACTGTAGATATACATGTGTTCTCTTGAGTTAAATTTGTACATATTTCTTCAGAAAAAAGCTGCTTACCGTGTAAGCTATCTTGACTTTCTCAGTGTAAATACAATACACTTCTCAAGTTGCAAATGAGAAGTTTGAGTATATGTATGTATATATAGCTGTATGCAAAACTTGGAACTTTCAAGACGTAGCCTACCACCTTCCAATGGAGTTAGAATGAAAATCGTGGGATTTTAATTTGTACTCATAATAGGTACTCCTATATTCTTAACAATCTGTCTTTTAGTTCATTCAGCTAGAACCCTTCTTTTTTTGTTCTTTTTCAACTAGACCAAGCAACCAATCTGTCTTTTAGTTCCTATTTTTTTTTTCTTTTTGTGGGAGGGGAGGAGGGTTGAGGGGGATATTAGGTGGGTGGGTGGGTGTATATTTGGAGGAGGAGATCCATAAAACAAGACAATCAATTGCTATTAGCTAGTCACCAACTCGATATTCACTCAAAATTGGGAAGATATGTACAATGTCTGTGTGCCATATTTAGACTTATTAACTTGTTACAGTGAGTTATAAATTCTCGAAACAATCCTTAAAATAATATCCTCTCCTTTTCATCACTGACTAGTGTAAATGCATCCCGGTCAACTGAAATCTGAAACTACTCCAATAGTCAATTGATAAAGACAACTCCATTGAATTGAAACAGTAGTACAGTTTAGGAAAATTTAACATCCCTTCCTGTCTTGCCTTTCTCCAAAAAACTTGCCGTTTTCAACAGGGAGATTTTGAAATTGCAGAGGCGCATTATTGCTGCAACATAAACCCCCCATTGAATCTCACTATGAATCTTTAAGTACTACTTCAATTTATGTGGCTTGATTCGGAGTACGAAGGTCAAAGTTTAAGTTTATTTTTTAAACATAAAATTTACATATTTGAAAATTACATACAAAATATTGTAAATAATAATAATAATTTATATTTCAAAATACTAATAAAATATTTAAGAAACTCATGGTCAAAGATGAACTCATAGATTCCCCAAATAATAATGTACACATAAATTGAGTACTTTTTATGAGATCTATAAGCACTAAAAGCGATTATTGAAAAGTCTTAACAAGTTACTCCTACTATATACGTACAAGCCAAGGGGCAACATTTACACTTATCTTTTGTGACTTATAATTTTCAAGACAATCATTAATTTTATCATTTCCCTATCACTGCGTCCTTTTTCATCATTGAGAAGTGTTAATGCCAGATGAAATTCTCACCAAACAGTTGAGTAACCAAAAAAAAAAAAAAAAAAAAAAATACNAAAAAACGTACGTGCTAAGTATTAACTAGTCCCGGACTTGCTATTACATTAATAATAAGCAGTCCGCTAATCTTCAAATCTAACAAAAAACTTGATCTACATTAATATATTCTTCTAAATATTGGGAAACGTGTCAGGCTAATAGAATGGAAAAATATTTGAAAGTGAAAAGCAATAAATTGCACAAGACAAGATTTACGTGGTTCGGCAATTTTGCCTACTCCACGGCCACACAAAGAATAACTCTTTATTAATTGAAGAGAGAAAGAAGAAGTTGATGGATGATTTGCAAATGAAAATACATACCTCTTTTATAGGCATTTGAATGCCCTGCCGAAGTAAGCACTTACATCATACGAATGCCGATGTAAGCCCATACATCATAATTTCATCTCTTTTTGATTTTCTTTCTTTTGTTTTGTACACTTTTCTTTCTTTCACATACAACATGTTTGCTACTATCGATCTCCCCCTCAAACCTATGTTACATTAAGAAAAAAATTAAAATAAAGATTTGTTATTCTCTGGTAGCGCCTTCACGCTATCAGTCTTGAAGGCTAACTGAGGCAGTGCACAACCTCAGTTTGTCAACACCGACAACTTTGGTTAACATGTCTGACGGGTTCTTTGATCCTAGTATCTTCTCAAGGGAAAGAGTTTCTTGACTTATCAACTCTCGGATATGATGATACCTCAACTGGATATGCTTCGATCTTGCATGAAACACTGGATCCTTGGCAAGATGAATTGCACTCTAGCTATCGCTGAAAAGATCACAATTGTCCTGCTCTTTACCTAACTCTTTAAGAAAATTCTTGAGCCAAATCATCTCTTTTCCAGCTTCTGAGATTGCCATGTACTCTGCTTCAGTGGTAGATAGAACAACACTTTTCTGAAGTCTGGACATCCAGCTAACAACAGTACATCCTAAGGTGAACACGTAGCCTGTGGTACTTTTTCGACTATCCAGATCACCGCCTAAATTTGCATCAGCAAAACCTTGTAAGATAATATTGCTCCTTTTAAAACAAAGTGACATACCTGAGGTGCCTTTGAGATATTGCAATATCCATTTTACACCTTCCCAATGCTCCTTCCCTGGATTAGACATGTATCTGCTGACAACTCCAACTGCATGGGCTATGTCAAGTTTAGTGCAAACCATAACATACATCAAACTTCCTACTGCTGAAGCATATGGAACTTTGGACATGTACTTCCTTTCTTCATCTGTCTTCGGTGATTGGTCCTTCGACAGATTAAGATGGCTTTCGAGTGGAGTGCTTCTGGTATTTGGATCATGAAGACCGAACCTGCTTAGTACCTTATGTATGTACTTTTTTTGAGACAATTTTAAGGTTCCTTCAGACCTATTTCTGTTGATCCTCATCCCAAGCATTTGCTTAGCTGGTCCTAAGTCTTTCATTTCAAACTCTTCCGCCAGTTGTTGCTTAACCCTGTTGATCTCATTTATGCTAGATCCTGCAATTAGCATATCATCAACGTACAACAGTAAAATGATATAGGATTTATCAAAAATTTTGATATAACAGCAATGGTCTATCTCACATCGTGTGAAACCATTATTATGCATGAATCCATCAAATTTCTTGTACCATTGTCGGGGTGCTTGTTTCAAACCATACAAAATCTTTTGCAACTTGCACACAAGGTTTTCTTTACCAGAAACTTGAAAACCTTTAGATTGCTTCATGTAGATGTCTTCTTCAAGGTCACCATGCAAGAAAGCAGTTTTAACATCTAGTTTCTCCAAATGCAAATTTTCTGCAGCTACGATACTTAGCACCAACCTGATAGTAGTTAATTTGACTACAGGAGAGAAGATCTCGGTGTAGTCAATCCATTCCTTCTGCTGAAAGCCTTTTACTACTAATCGTGCCTTGTATATCTTCTTACCATCATGCTCTTCTTTGATCATGTACACCCACTTATTTTGCAATGCCTTCTTTCCTTCTGGTAACTCTGTAAGTATCCATGTTTTATTCTTTTGAAAAGAATTCATCTCTTCTTTTATGGCTAGCTTCCACTTATCAAATATTATCACCTGCATTGTTTCAATAAAATACTCTGGTTCTCCAGCATCAGTCAGAAGTAAATAGTTGAGAGAGAGAGTTAACCTATCTGGAGTATTCGTGACTCTTTTAGATCTCCTTAATGTAGGTTTAGGATTAACTGATCCCGAATTTGATTCAAGTCCTGACTCTAGATCTAGTTCTCCATCTGATTCTATCTCTGGTTCTCGTTCTGGTTCTGATTCTGATCCAGATTCGGCTTCTGGTTCGGCATATTCAATTTTAGATCCAGTTGTAGTCTCTCTAGCTACTTCATTTTCTGAGATTTCTTCTAACTCGATTGTTTCAGATGTCTGTCTATTGGTGCTGGTTGGTTCTACTTCAAGCTTATCTTTGTACATCACATTTTCATTAAATGTGACATTCCTGTGTCTTAGGATCTTTCTATTCTGATCATCCCAAAATCGATAACCAAAATTATTATTACCATAGCCAATAAAGAAATATTTCTTGGCCTTAGGATCAAGCTTATCTCTATCATTAGAGTTTACATGCACATAAGCAACACAACAAAAAAAATTTAGATGTGAGAGAATTACCTCCTTTCCTGTACATACCTCCTCAAGAATTTCTAAATCCAGCGGTACAGAGGGTCCCATGTTTATGAGGTAAGCTGTCGTAAAAGCTTCAGCCCAAAAATACTTTGGCAATCCAGAATGTATTCTCATACTTCTGGCTCGTTCATTTAGGGTTCTGCTCATCCTCTCAGCAACGCCATTTTGTTCCAGTGTTCTAGGAACTGTCTTGATCATTCTGATCCCATTCTCAGAGCAGAATGTTTTAAACTCTTGACTATCATACTCTCCTCCATTGTCAGACTTCAGACATTTTAACTTTAGACTTATCTGATTTTCAACTTCAACTTTCCATCTTTTAAAGGTAACAAACACATCAGATTTATTTTTCAGAAAATAAACCTATACCTTTCTTGTGGAATCATCAATGAAGGTGACATAATAGCGTGAGCCTCCCAGAGAAGTTACAGAATCTGGTCCCCACACATATGTATGCACTAGTTTCAGCTTCTCTTTCTTTAGCGTCCTTCCCACCTTTGAGAAACTAACTCTCTTTTGTTTCCCATAAGTGCAATCTTCGTACAAACCTAATTCAACATGCTTTAGGTTTGGCAACTTTTCTTTGGATGCCAACAACTTCATTCCCTTCTCACTCATATGCCCGAGCCTCCGGTGCTACAATGTTGTATCACGACCATGATCAACTGTCGTAATAGTATCTCGTTGTATTGCAGTTGCATACAGTGTTCCCTTCTTGAAGCCTCGTGCCACAACCAAATTTCTTTTGGTTATCTTTCATGATCCGTTACCGAATGTTATTGTATATCCTTCACTGTCAATCTGACCCATAGATATAAGATTTTTCTTGATGCCAGGAACATGTCAGACATTTTACAATTTCCATAGCGTGCCTTGTGAAGTCTTTATATGAACTTCACCTTTCCCGACAATGTCTAGTACTTCGTTGTCTGCTAGATAAACTTTCCCAAATTTTCCAGCAATATAATTATACAATAATTCTTTGCATGATGTAGAGTGAAAGGATGCACCTGAGTCGAGAATCCAAGATTCGACTGGACTATTTGCACAACAAATTAGTTCATCACCGACTTGTTCAGCAATTGCATTTGCTGAATTATCATCCTTGTATTGATCATTCTTCTTCTTCTTTGGCTCTCTACACTGACTACTGTAGTGGCCCTTTTTATCGCAATTCCAACACATAATGTCTTTGCGATTTTTGAATTGCCCTCTTCCCCTCGACTTTGATCTGCCACGACCATGACTTTGTCCTCTTTGGCTGTTTCTCCCCCTGCTTTCG